CTATGAGTCGTGTACTTTTGCTTGATGCCTTTTGAGTGAATCTTGGTGACCATACGATTTTTCACAGGCGGAGCATTTATATCGTACCCCACCAATATGTATCCTTTTATGATTGTTGAGGTGAGATTGTTGTCTGAATGTTTTTGCACACACATTGCATTTAAAACGTTTCTCTTCGGTATGTATCCTTTCGTGAGTTTTGAGTGAAGACTGAACACCAAATGTTTTTCCACAGACATCGCATTTGAAGGGTTTCTCTCCGGTATGTATCCTTTTATGATTGTTGAGGTGAGGTTGTTGTCTGAATGTTTTTGCACACACATTGCATTTAAAAGGTTTCTCTTCGGTATGTATCCTTTCGTGAGTTTTGAGTAAAGACTGAACACCGAATGTTTTTCCACAGACATCGCATTTGAAGGGCTTTTCACCGGTATGTATCCTTTTGTGAATTTTGAGGGAAGACTGGTGACCAAATGTCTTTTCACAGGTATTGCATTTGAAGGGTTTCTCGCCGGTATGTATACTTTTATGATTGTAGAGGGAAGACTGGTGACCGAATGTTTTTTCACAGATATTGCATTTGAAGGGTTTTTCGCCGGTATGTATACTTTTATGACTTTTGAGGGAAGTCTGTTGACAAAATGTTTTTTCACAAACATTGCATTTAAATGGCTTTTCGTCCGTATGAATGCGCCAATGTCTTCTCAGACTTGATATTGACGAAAAACTTTTTAAACAAATGCCACAATTATAGAGGCCATTTTTGTTTCGATGATTGACATTATTTTTTTGAGGCGCTTTCTTTCCAATGGAAGTACTGGAATGTGATTGCGCAATGTGCCGGATTATATTACTTTTGGTTGTAAACCTCTTTTGACACATGTTGCAGTCGAACCGACGTATTTTGTATATATTTTGCTCAGAATTGTTTTTTATAGTTTCAATAAAATTGCAATCCATGGTTTTTGTATTATTTGAGGTATCCGTCGCATTACACGGAAAATTAATACTGCCAAACGTATGAAACAAAGCAGAATAATTTAAGATCAATATATTTAGATGTTATACAACAAATATGTTAGTAATGTTAAATGTCCAACGCATCATTTGGAAGAAATAATTTTATTAATGTATTAATATTAATTAAGACCTGTAAAGTTAATTTTTGACATTTTTGTTTTAATGAAACGCTTTTCATAATAGTGGGTATCTTTAAAGATACACTACTTCATCTATCTATTAAGATAAAAAAAAACAATAAAGCATATCTTAATTAATATTTTATTATTTACGTAGAGTAGGTTTTAGTCTTTGAACTATGTATGTAAGTATGTTTATTTGTATTAATTAAGATATATTGTTAAAAAAGAAAATAAGTTAAATGTATCCAATTTTAAATTATGTTTATAAAGTTTTAAGTATTTTACTATTAGGATATTGTAGGTATCATTTTGGATACAACCAATAATTCCGTTTAGGAGAAGTGCAACTGAGGTAAAAGTGTTTATCTAGTTATATCCAATAAAAGTTAGTTTATGGTTTAGTTGTAAGTTAGATTACTTATATTTCATAAAAAATTTTCATTTAACTTTATACATTTTTTATTGTAAAAAAATTTAATTTTATAGAAATTAAACAAACCCTAGTACTTATTAAATTATTTTTCTTTATAACTGTTAAAATAAAGTTTTTACAATAAAAAATTACACTTATACTAATTTTTTGTCCGTTATATAAAAGAATGAAAAAAATGTATGAATAAATTTCTTTACATTTATATTTATATAACACAGTAT